ATTGAAAGTGCTCTGGGACTATTTTGGCACTTTTTTTTAGTGTTGAAATTTCCATTACATGAGGCATGATTGTGTAGAACTCCTCTTTCCCCCTCCCCCCCCCCCAATAATGTTATAGCTTTCTATGACTAGTTTAATAATGTCTTACATAAGACAGGAATAGAAGTGTCTTGGGAAGATCCTTTCTGGAAACCAAGATCTCTATCTTTAGAGATCTCTCTTCTCTTTAGTATCTGAGAGTAAGAAGGCAGCACAGAGGATAAGGATGTCTCCTAAAACATTCTATAGAAGATGCAGGGGATTACAAGTCATTAATTGTAGCATAACAACATCAAAATAGGAAAATCAATGGAAAAAAGAAAACAAACTTGGGGAATACATACATGTATATTTATGATATAACAGTGAAAAGTCAAGTGCTTTTTGTAAAGTAATGTCCTCCCTCATAGACTTAAGCTTTCTTTCAAAGCTTAGAATTCCAGAAAAACATCAAGCACTTTTTCTGGCAAACTAATCTTCAATATACAGTAAAAAGTCAGTATAGGACAGGAAGGTAGGTCTTTTAAAAAAATTATTTTTASTAGTCAGGAAGCAGAAAATGCTCACTTTCCACAATGAGAAGAGGTCATAAGTTGAGTTTCTCAGAGGTGTATATACAAATGCATATMATTTAAAGTATTCATTCACCACTTCAGAAAGCAGCTAGGGGAGCAGTAAGAGGATAATTTTTGCTAAAAATACAATTACAAGGTTGTGGTGAGGACAAAAGACTGTGGCTTTGGTGAGAACAAAAGACTGTGGCTTTAAGGGATGTCAAAGAGATACTACAAAATAAGCAACTAGGCAATAAAATAACAAATAAAATTCAGTATAGATGAATGTTAAGTAATGCACATAGCAAGAAAAGATTATTTTATATATAAAAGGAGAGGATATGAGTTGATCATCACAGCTGAAAAGATATCTTATGGTTATCATGTGTAGCTTAGTTTCTCTATAGTTTCTCTAGCTCAAAAAGAGTGGAAAAAAATAGCATGCTATAAGTTATTAGAAAAGGAACCAAGAACAAACAGAAAACATTTATGCTGCTGTGTAAATCCATAATGTATAGTTCTCCTCCTCTTCTACAAAAAGGTTCAAAGAAGGGCAACAAAGACAAAAAGAAATATTGAATTGTCTCCTTACCTTGACTGGGTAGACAAGGACTTATTCTACCAGAGAAAAGACAACTGAAAGAGAATTTGATAGAAGCCTGTATAATGCGTGGTGAGAGCAAATAGAGATTGATTATCCAGGGTCTCTTTCCGTACAGGAACAGGAGGTATCAAATGCAATTAGCTGGGAGCAGATACGAAGAAGACAAGGGAGCTGCTTCTTTTGTATCTCATGTGGCTCAGCTGTGAAGCTCCATGCTGCAGTATGGATGTGCATGCTAAAGGTTACAGGAACCAAAGAGAAACCAGACGTTCAAATTCCATACTCCTAATTTTTCATAATAGGTATATGTTACCTTTTTTAGAACCTTCCAACTAGAGAGCTCTCTAAAATACCTCAACTGTCTTTGCTGAGATTGATCCATCAGTGAGTAGACGYGACAAACAATTAACCTTTGTTTAACTAAAACTTGCTACACTTACAGAAAGGTTGTTATCAAGTTCTCTGTCTCAAGTTTTCTTTTTCTAAACCTAGTATCTCAAGTCCTTTTTGTTCAAAGTTTACATTTTCTAAATAACTTATTCCTGTTGTTTTCCTGTGTGCTTTTCTCCAGTTTCTCAATTACTTTCCCGGGACTGAAGCTAGTATTCTCCCTGCTCTCATTCCTGTGTTTGAAGTACCTCTTTTTACTCAAGACCTTCTTTTCCTTGCAGTGGAAGGGGGGGGAAAAAAAAAAAGACAAAAAAAGGGACTTTTTTTTTTTCCTAGCAAAAGTGTCACATTCTTGATTTGCTTTTTCAACTTTTTCTACAAGCAGCCTAACAGCTTGTTCTAGAGTATATACATACAGCATTCTGTACACAGTTTTTTCTCAAGCATAGCATATGGGTTGTGTTGGGTTGAATTTGAGCTCTTTGATTTTAGTTATCATCTCCCAGTTTACTGAGAACATTTCAAGTTTTAGTTCTCTTYTGTGAAGTGACTGTCCTCTTTCCTTTGTTTGATATCCTATGCACCTAGATGCAAATCATGGTAATTTCCTGAAAACCACATCTTCCTGTTTTCTTAGGGAGACACAGCAACACTTTTCTAAATCACTATGGGCCTACATTATATTTGCTCCCTTATCCAGAAGGCAAGATAGATTGTCAAAGAAAAAATACCTTGGTCTGACATAATGACTTTTGACAAATGCAGTTTCTTTGGTTTTATTACATGCTTTTTCTTTGCTCACAAATTAATTGTTTAATCATTTCTTTGTTGAAAATTCTGATTTGAAAAGAGGTTGGTCTGGACATAATTTTGCAAGTCCTCTTGGTCTATCTAGGCATACAACCTTTTGCTATTTTCCAGCTTCTGTTCTCCAACTTATTTGCTCAGGAATTGCTGTCATTCATTCTGAGAGTATCAACAGATAAACTTTTGGGAGGCATTGTGCTGTGCATATGTTTTTCTTATATAATACTCTTTACGATGTTTTACACATGTTCTAGCCTGTGATGTTGTTCCCCCATTAGGATGAACATAGCTAGCTGCTTGTTACAACTAAACTTTTTTTAAAGATTTATTTGCTTTCCTTCACTGTTAGATGAAAACCTCTTTGTTTTCCTCTGGCTTTAATGCATTTGCAGAACTTCTCTTATTTCTACCAATTTTTACCAATTTCTAAATAAAATACCTGCTTCTTCTCTGATATACTTTCTAACAAATTCTGTGCTTTGATTCTCTCAGGGCTTCCCAAATTGTCATCAATACACTTGCTATCCAGTTAGTACAAGATGTTTTCTTACACTGGCATAGTTAAGAGAACAGCTTAAAGCTTCCTAGATGCTTTAGGACCTGTATCCACACAGAATGTTCAAAAGATATCTGATCACTTAGTGCGTGCATTGGTAAGGATTGTTTCCAATTTGCCTTGAGCAATGAAAGCCCTAGAGCCAGCACTATCTGTTTCTACATAGCACGATCTAAAAAGCTGCAGAGAACATGCATGGTGCACAATACACAGAAAGAATGAAAGCCCCTCTCCTATTTTAATGAACAAAGCATTCTAAATAGTGCTGGAGTCCAAAGGCACCATTGTGCTCTTAGGCTCTGGAACAACTTCAATAGTGTAAGAGTTAAGTAAATTATTTAATGGCTTTCTTTGTTATAAAGGAAACATAATCGCAGCTCCACTGGGTAACACAGTGAACAGACACGATCAAAAGCTTTCTTTCTGCTTTGTCTACTGCACCATCTGCTTATTCCTTCCAGAACTTCACTCTGGCAAGTGACCCAATCTTTGCAATACAGCCTGGCACATAAGTAACATTACAGAGTATTTTGTTTATGTGTKTATCTGCACGTTTAGATCTATAAATATTCATAAAGTGACTTTTAATGAATGAAGTGTACAGCCGCACCATATTTAGCTGTAGCTATTTGTGTCCTGAAATCTTATATCTACMACCACCACCATCAGAGGAAGGGAAACAGAAATATAATTAACATTTCTAACATAGTGATAGATCGGTCTTGATAGATTTTCTAGGATTACAGGGCTACTTTTTGGAATCTTGAGTTTCTAGTATAATGAATAGACTAAAATCCACAGATAAGGATCTACATATATGACTAAGATAAAGCAAATAAACCATAAACCATAAATTCAGTGTAAAATAAACTTGCTTTAGAGAGGAAGTGCCTGTTGGAAAGGACTGACTGAGCACAAAGACCTGTGAACTTTGTCAGTGGGAAAGAGGACATATGCTGACTTTCCGGTTTCTAAATTCTTCTAAATTCTTGATTACCTTTATTAGTATCTACCTTACCAGATAAAAGGAAAAGTGGTACAATTAGTTAATAAATTGGATTTTCTAAGTATACTTCTTCCAGTAGCAACCTCTTCAGCCACTTGCTCAAGATGCTTCGCATTYTTTTTGAATCAAGAACCAAGAAAAATGTCAATAAATACATCAACCTGCTGTTGACATTTCTCTGAAATACTCTGCTAGCCATCCAGGATGCCATGGGTCAGCACCCTTACAAGTGTGTAGCACAAGAGGGCTTCAGGTCTCTCTGATTACGATAGCAAAGTGCATAAGGTGTCTGAAACCTGCAAAGCACTGTTTACAATATGTACTTGAATTTTGAACAGCTGTTCAGTTTGACCATGTTTGTGTCCCTTTTTACTCGCTATTCACAAACATTCTTGATGTGCATGTTGGGTGGTGAGTTTACACAAATATTTGAATAGCTGTGCAGCATAAATCCTTGAAAACAAATAAACAACAAAAAAAGTGTTTTGACCTATGATATTTTCCCCTCTGTTTTCTTTATTTCTGTTAGCCTTGGCTTCCCTAGGTAAGTTTCAGTTGTGCCACACTGGGAAAAAAAATCCTATTTCGTGATGTAGGTACTAGATTCATTTGAATAATACCTTGGGAATATTCAAAGTAATCATTTTTTCAATTTCCCATTGTTTTTTTATTAGAAGTTGTTAGCTCAAAGTGTCTAGCAAATGTTTGCTGAAAATTGCATTGGGTCACAAAGAGATGAGTTAAATTATCCACGTACAGTAAGTATAAGGAAAGCATCTGGTGTGTTTTCATGAAAGTCTTCCTTATGAAAGACTCTGTCAGATGCTTTAAAAGTGAAAATCTTTTGTTGTACCTGGATTTCTGTGTGCCTCACAGCCACCCAAGGTCTACCAAGAAGTGATCTGTTTGCTGGTTGTTATGGAAYTGTAAGAAGCAAGAACAGGATTTTTATTACTAAATTTGGATAACAATATATTCCACTGGATGATGATAAAGAMGCTTACCATCATAAACTCCATGGAATAATAGCACAATACACGAACACAAATACTATATATCCATGTGCAGTGACAATATAACCCAAATATCGACACAATAGACACTGATTTGTGAACAGAAGTCTTAATGATTTGTCATTTACATGATAAAAATTCAAGGAAGCTTTTTCACTGATTATGATAAAAGAAAAATAGAGCATTTTTTCTTCCTTAACAGCTTGTCTTAACAGAAGTGCAGAACAGAAGTGAGTATGGGCTGCTCGAGTATGTTCTGACACAGAACTGAGGTCCGGATTTTGGATCTACAAAATCATAGAAAAACAAACTGTTGATTAAGAGAGTGAAATATAACTGGAATTTATCAAATATTTAGATTCTCAGATACTCAATTAAACTAGTTCTGTATGTATGATGTTTCTACTATAGAAGTGAGAGAGAATTAGACAAAATCTTCTGGAACTTCCTCACATAGTCTGTACAGGACTGGCTTTGATGATGCAGCAAAGAAAGCCCTGACATAGATTTCTAGGAAAGCATTTGTAGAAGTAATTTACACTGTTTGAGAAGCCATAAACCTATCTGCTTCTTTTGCTGACATGCTATGCTGCCACTATTGCTTAAAGCTGATGTGCTAATTTAAAAAAAAAAAAAAAATTAATCAGACCTACCTAAAAATACAGTTGTGTTTGTTGTTTCCCTGTTGAAACAATAGATCAATAGCCAGTTTGCACTCCTAATTTCATTTATTCCAATGCCATTTCAACATGTTATATATTTCTTTTCTTTAAATGGCCTGCCTGATAAAAATGGCTCAAATATTGGCTCCAGAACTATTTGAACAGCAGACAATGAGCTGCATATTAATTAGTTTTATTGCAAAGAAAATTGCATTGTCAATCATTGTTACTAACGGGTAACAGCATGAACTTACACTAAGATAAATGATTATTCTTGCTAACTAGCAAATATTCTGTTTTGTAATGCATAGTTTCTGAAAGACAAATATGTAAATGCAATAAAAAAGCTGTATTGTCTGAATTCTTTCATTTCATAGGCTGTCAAGAAAGATGAAGATGAGAAATAATTAAAAGTGAATAAATAATTGCAAATACTGACCAGAGAACATGATGTTGCTAGTTACTGCTCTTTCTGGGTTTTATTCAGYCCCCTGGCTCCTGTTACCTTTTTCTTACTCAGGATTGCAGACCTAGAAAGCATATATATTAACATCTGACCTGAAAATTATGAGGGCCTATGAAGTATGGAAGGATAGGATAGGAAAGCATAGAATAGGAAAGACATTTGGACAAAGGATGTAGCTGTTTATCCAAAAAAGTAATAGTGAGAGGGAAGGAGGTAGGAATACCACTTTCAAACTGAAACAAGGCAATAAAATCCTTAAAAATGTAATCTCTATTATTGTGTTTGATCCCTTAATTAGTAAAAACGTAAGTATGACCAAAAAGCACCAACCCTACCCTATTAGGCAGGCATCCTGTAGGCTATCAAAGCCAAGGCATCCTTGGTATAAACTGAGAAATTAATAAATATACCACTTAGAGATATTTAACCTGACAAATGCAGTATGTAGGTCCCAATTTTKGGGGAAGTATCGAGTTTATGAACAGAGTAACTTGCCAAAGTGCATGGCAGACACAGGAACAGAAAATGGTTACCAACCAAAAAATTAATTGTATAAAGTATAAAGATGTCTTTCAAACTATGTAAAGAAAAACTACTAAGTGTTTTGAGCTGTTGGAAAGTTAGGGTGGATTCACTGTCCATCTACCAGAAATGTATCTGCCACATCCAGCATGATTCAGGTCTTATAGGAGCTCTGTATCCTCATGGAGAGGCAAGTGGAAGCCAGGCTGGATAACCCACAGAACTGATGATTCTATTTTTATTGTTAAACACTAGATCTTCCCCCTTGTGTGATGTCCAATGACAGTTTCCACTTGAATTTACAGGCCTCATAGCAGTGGAAGACCAGCTAAGAAAAGGCTGTATAACAGAAACTTTTTTTTTTTTAAATATATGTATATATATATATTTTTCTGTGTGGGATCAGAAAGGCAAGAATTACTTGCTCATGATGAAAACTTTTGTGGGAGTATAGGATATTTCTAATAGATATGACATACATAATAAACTTCCAAGGAGCTGCTTATAAAACAGTTACCTGAAATAAATATTTTGAGCTAGGGAAAAGCTAGTCTATCTGAGACAAGCTTGTATGTGACAACCAAAGCCACCCACATTGTGAACAGAAGAAATATCTTTAAATACTTATCTTGCAATCAAAACATGAGGCGGCTTTCTGGAGACAGGAAAGAAAATTTTCATGCTCAAAAAATGAGACAGTCTACAAAGTACACAGGATTTGTGGTAGGGAGCAGAATCATCTCTATTGAAATACTTTCCTTCTCTCTGGTGCCTTCCAGGCACAGCACTGCCCTGCTCCTCTCACTACCTCTTTGGCAGGAAGCTGGAGTTCCTCTTTCCAGGAGTCAGCAGGAGATGGAAAATTATTTACCCAGGTTTGGCATTTCTGTGTTGCTCTGCACTCGCTGTGGCACGAACAGCATCCTCTGGTGAAGAAGGGTTTAGAAGGTGGCTGGAAACAAATAAGCAGACACTTAACTCACAGCATGATTTATAAGAATATTTTTTTTTCTATACTGTCACTGTCATCCACAGTCAATAAGAGATTTGCCCAGGGCAAAAGGGAAAACAAAGTCCAAACATACAGCTGCCCTCTGAACTCTATAGAGGCTAAATCACCTTTTTTTTTTATTCTGGAAATCTTCAAGGGGCAAGGGATTTTGCAAGCTGAATGTAACTTAAAGGATATATGAGGTTTTCCTAATGCCTTTCCCCCAGACCTGAGGCTGCAGCAGTAGTGTCTGTGTTACCAGTCCCCCTGTGTGCTTGTAGCAGAGACTGGCACACAGCCTTTACTTCAYAGCCAGGTATTTTTGCTATAGCCTTGTCACAGAGCTGCCTTGTGAAGGCTCAGTTTGTCCTTTCCACGGGACAAGTTCAGTCACACAGTATATTCTTCTCAAGCTTTTTTTCCACAATTATTTCCCTGACTGTCATGTTTCACTTCTAAGCTCCCACTGTGTTTCAGATCTAGCCCTTTTTTATGTCTGCCAGCAAATTATTAAAAAAAAGAAAAACACTTTTCCTTAACAACACTGCACAACATTAACAGGAGGGGAATTGAAAAGAATGTGTCTTTTTTTTTTTCTCTCTCTATAGAAAGACTTTTTCACCATGCTCTATATTAAATCTCATACTATGACCCTCACGACTGCAAGATGAACATAATTATGTTAAAATTGAGCAATGCTACCTATAAAATTATTCTTTCCCATAAAGTCTTTCTTTCCTCAGTAACTGCTTTGGAAGGAGCTCCTCTGCCTTTCAAAAGAAACAGAAAAAGGTGCAGCATAAAACCTGGGTAACAGAGGTGAACAGATTTCCTCTGGAAAAGCTGGACCTTGAGCTTCTGGAGACTCAAAGATGCATTTGATTTGATACTGTGCTGGAGGAACCTCTCACGTTGCAGGAAATGTGGACCTGCAACAGAAAATTACATTCCTTGTATGTGGATAAGACAGACAAAACAAATTGTCGTACAAAGAATTTATCAGGTGAGTCTGAGATTGACCCATTTCAATGAACAGTCAGAYGCACTTTTAATAAGGAAGATGAGCCATGCACATTTTTCACGACACTTTTCCCCAAACAAATCTCACCTTTTCAACGTGTTAAAAGTTTGATTCAGCTTGGGAATGAAAACGTCTTTTCTTTAACCTGCTCCCATAATCAAACTAATATAGCCCTGGCCTTGAGCATATAGCACATTACAGATAAGCTGATCACTGTCAGAGACCTCAACAGATGAACAGGACATCAAACTGCAGTATTGAGGCACAAAAGACACAGGCAGATGCATACCTGTCAGGTCCTGTTTTTCAGGGATATGTGTTTTCCTCCTATTGAATTGCCTTTTTTTTTTTTTTCTTTGCCTTTTATGTTCAAGTCATAGGTATATTTTACRCTGGTTTTTCTTTGATCTTGTAAAACAACCGATCATGATTGCAAAGAGTTAGACAAGCTCTTCTTCTTTCCATTAACAAAAGTAAAATAGGATCTGCCTGCAAGAACRACAGCCTCATCTCATTCCTGAAATAAGTTTCTGAGGCATAATTGAGGATCTAATTGTTTGCACTGGATTTTGTAGCATTGCACCTAGAATATTGCAGATGCATTATTAGCTATTACATTATYAGCTATTACAGAACTGCGCTGCCATAAATATATAGCAATTCTCCCTTCTCAGAATAAACCATGGAAAATTTCACTGCAGTTACAAATCTRAACTAAAAGGAGGGGATGTCTGGTTATAACCAACATGTAGAGTTCRTGACTGAAAATCCGCAGTGGAGCTGGATTCTAGTTGAAATTTCCTTGCTTACGTTCATCTCTGAAGTCTTTACCAACAGTTATGGTATAAGGATGCCTTATGCATGGCTCAGAACCAAAAAGCTACTCTTCAACTGCATAGCTGATAAAACTTACAAAAACTTACATATTGCTTATTTTATATGCTAGTTAATACTGTATTCTGCCTTTGGAACATTAATGATTCAGCATTTTAATAACAGTGACTAGCTAGTTTTGTTTACTGGTTGTTTCTTTAAGTGATCCCACTGAAAAATGGATCCCTCTCCATCTTCCATTTCCATAAATCCTCATGACTTCAGCATCCCCTGGACTACACTGTGATGGATAAACTCTGCAGCTATTTCTGCTACAGACTAATGCACTTTCCAACCTCTTTCTGACAGGTTGAACATGGTTCAAATTTGTTTGCTTTGGATACTTTCCCTGGCAATATTAATTCTGATGTAAATTATCAATGTTAATTCTGTCTTTACCAATGTTTGATATTTATTAGCCCAAGATATGACACAGTCAAGCTCGGGAATAGGAATTCTTCTCTCCAGGGATACCTATTACTGTTACCCTCAGGTTCCAGTGTACAAAAATTCTAGAAAACTGATCCAGCAGATTGTTTTGTTAAAGAATTCTTCCTCCTTTTTTCCCTTGATGTCCCTTCTGCATCTCTTTTGCAAATCAGTGCTCCACCCAACTCAGCTCTACTCTGTGGTGCCAGTAGAACTGAGGCAGGACCTCCTAAAGGGTCTTCTTTTTATTGGTACTGGGCTTTCAGTGACTTGCAAATAGCCAAAGATTGCTGAGTATCTTTACTATTCATTTCTTTCTCTAGTGCCTAGTGTGGGTAACTGATAAGAAAGGAATATGCTCTGAGCTCTGGAATTCATTCCCTTTCATTACAGCTTTCATCAAGATGCTATGTCTTCATGTTTGCAGTTACAATCTGATAGATATTAAATTAACAGAATTAGAAAAAACATTAATTTGTCTGTGGATGAGATGTTATTAGGAATAATGGGATAATAATATCAGATGTTCTTTTTTAATGTTCAGTTTTATGAACTGAGCAATTATGAAAATATTTAAATAATGAGTGTAATTGCTTATTAAAATCATTATCATGCATAAATATTTATATTCTTAATCAATGTTTCCTCAAAGGTATAGCCATAACCATTAAAAAAGTGTACATTACACATATAAACACATGTATYCAGATCCTCAGCTAGCATACATTGCAACTATTTAATTACTCTCAGAGTTGCACAAAYTTGCATGTGCTAAAGACCTGGCATTTTCAGATTTCACTGGTGATTTGAAGTATTTTACATTTTAAGTGACCAGTGTCAGATATCAGCAATGCAGTGATTTGTAAACAGCAGAAACACAGTATTTTTTTGGCAGTGAGACACTTTGGGAGTGAGACATTATCTATAGGTTTGGGATTCTCCATAACAATCTTCAGCACTTAATAATAGCACTTAATAATAGTAGTTATTTTCAAAAGGATAACCACATATTACTACTTGTTTTTGCAGTGTGACAACTTTGGAAAAATGGAGAAGAGAAAAAGGAACAAAACTATATGGGAGAAAGTTTTATACACCTGATTCCATAAAAAAATCATGAAGTTTACAAAGAAAGTTCTAAAGGAAGGCATTTTGTGTGCCCCATCTTTCCTTCTCCTCGGTCCGCTGCACGTTGTTCTCCAGAAAAACATGGCATTTGGATTA